ATGGGATGAGTGGGGAAGGGAAGGGAAGGGGGTGAAGCAAGACCCTGCCATTGCCTCTTGGAATGAAATGAAATCCCAGTCTTAACGCTACCGAGACCTGGATGTCTGTCTTTACCTGGGTTTGCCCACAAGCAGTTGCTTGCTTCAGGCTCCTGGTGATGAGCTCTGTACCTCTCTGAAGCTCTTCCTTGCCCTGGCTGAGGCTGGGAGCCAGCCTGAGATGAGGCACGCGCTGCCTGCCCCCAGCTCTGCCAGCACCATCGCAGCCGGTGCTGATTCCTGTTCCTCTGCTGCTCTTCCCGCAGTGGCTGATGCCTGGCGAGCCCTGAAGAACCCCAGCATTGGGGAGAGCAGCATCGAGGGGCTGACCAGCGTGCTGAGCACCAGCGGCAGCCCCACCGATGGGCTCAGCGTGATGCAGGGCAACTACAGCGAGACAGCCAGCTTCGCCGCGCTCTCGGGGGGCACCCTCAATGGGGGGGTGCTCTCGGGAGGCAAGGGCAAGTACAGCCGGTGAGTGAGCTGCTGGGCACGCAGGGAAAGGGGAGAGGCCCCCAGGGCTGGTGTTGGTTGGGCAGGCCCCTGCTGGGGAGCTCTCCAGGGCTGTGAGTGCATCCCCCTCTGTGTCCTGATGGGTTTTCATAGGATGATTTAGGTTGGAAGGGACCTTAAAGCTCCCCCAGCTCCAACCCCTGCCACAGGCAGGGACCCCTTCCACTGGAGCAGCTTGCTCCAAGCCCCTGTGTCCAACCTGGCCTTGAGCACTGCCAGGGATGGGGCAGCCACAGCTTCTCTGGGCACCCTGTGCCAGCGCCTCAGCACCCTCACAGGGAAGAGCTTCTGCCTAAGAGCTCAGCTCAGGCTCCCCTCGGGCAGGTTCAAGCCATTCCCCTTCTCTTATCACTGCATGTCCTTGTGAAAAGGGCATCTTGTGTTGTACAATAACCAGCAGCAGCTCAGGCTGCTCCTGGAGCCAGTGCTGGGCTGGTTCCTGCAAGGAGGACAGGGGTTTCTGTCCCTGCTGAGCTCCTTCAAACTGCAGAGCTGATGCTTCAGGTTAATGGGAAGGGCACAGAGCTGCCTGCGTGGCCTGCTTAAAGCTCTTCCAGTTCTCATCCCAGGCTGGAGGCTTTGATGCTTCCCATTCCCAGTGTCTTATAGCAAGCAGGGTCACTGCTTGCCAAGTCAGGAGGCTGCACCACAGCTCCCCGAACATGCCTATGAGTCACTTTGGGTGATTGGAGCCATGTGTTGAGGTGGCAGCCAGGATCCCATCGTGGCTCTGTGCTGGAGCTGTGCAGATCACTTCTTTGCAGGGATTGTGTGAGTCATGAACACCACTTCACCTTCGTCATGGAAAACAGAATGGCTTTACCTAAACAGAGCCAAAACTGAGGCTTAATGAGAGAAACCATTGGGGTTAAACTCTGCCAAGCTGAGCTGCACCAGCACCAAGGGCCTCTTGCCTTCCCATGACAATGAGTGCTTGGTGCCCCTCAGGGACCACCTAAGGCATTCCTGAGGACTCCTCTTCTTTCCTGCAGGCTGGAAGTTCAGGCCGATGTCCAGAAGGAGATTTTCCCCAAAGACTCTGTCAGCCTCGGGGCTATCAGCGACAACGCCAGCACTCGAGCCATGGCTGGCTCCATCATCAGCTCCTACAACCCCCAGGACAGGTAGGAGGATGTGCACTGCTGAGGAGGGTGCTGGCAATGGGTGTCCTGGCATCGTCTCTGCTCTGTGGGTGGGGAGATGACTGCAGTGGCTCCAAGCTGTGCTTTGGTAGCTGGCAAGTGGAGTGATCCTTTTCCTAGCCCAGGAGGGCTGGGGACAGTGTGGGAGCAGCCTCCACGTGTGGGGTGGAGGCTGAGGAGGGAAGCTGTAGCTCAGGATCCTCAAGGGCTGTTCCTGGCTGGTCACTGTGGTGCTTTCCCAGTTCAGGTCCTGGCTTACAGCCTGGGATGATCTTGGCTGCTGTTGGGAGGACTCAAGGAGAGCAGTTCCCCAGATGCTGCAGGGCGATGAGCAGCATCTTGCTCGTGTTTGGCAAACGTGATCCTTCCAGAAACCCAGTAACACAAAGGTGCTTGTTCCTGCAGGGAGTGCAATAACATGGAGATCCAGGTGGACATCGAAGCCAAACCCAGTCACTACCAGCTGGCCAGCGGCAGCAGCACAGAGGACTCTCTGCACGTCCACAGCCCAATGGCAGAGAATGAGGAAGAGGAGGAGGACGTGGAGCAGGAGCAGACGTGCAAACACCAAAGCTGTGAGCAAAAGGACTGCATTGCCAGCAAAACCTGGGACATCACCCTGGCCCAGCCCGAGAGCATCCGGAGCGACCTGGAGAGCTCCGACAGCCAGTCGGACGATGTGCCGGACCTTACCTCGGACGAGTGCGAGTCCCCCCCGCCCCAGCCTGCAGCAACCTGCCCCCAGAGCCCAAGTGCCCCCCTGAGCCACTGTGCCCAAGCCGAGGGCTGCAGGCTGGATGACATGGTCAAGCTGGAGTGCATCGAAGCCAGGGTGTGAGGTGGGCTCCTGCTGACGAGCGCTCTGTCATTGCATCTCTCTGGGGCAGGGTTGTGTCCGTGTTGGCTTCTGTCTTCGAGGCTCCAGTGGCTCCCCAGCCCCCCCAGGAGCTGCTGTTTCTTATGTGACAAAAAACAAAGAAAAAAACCCAACAAAAAAAGCCCTGTTTTTGTTTTAATTTATTGATCCAAGCTCTGTGAGGTGTGTAAGAGTGTAAATATGTACGTGTGTCTGTACGTCTGCAACCATCCTAAGGGACTATTGGAATAAAGCCTCTGGTTGTCATTCGATTCTCATCCAGTTCATCTTTTCCAGTGATGTACAGGGAGCCATTCTGGGTGCTTTGCTCAAGGATTCCTAGCCCAAGCCATGGGGGAACAGGGGCATTTTCTCTGCTGCCTTTAGGAACTGGGCTAGAACAGCCTTGTTCTGGCTGCAGCAGCAATGGGAATGGTGCATGTGCCACGTGGGGCTTTGTTCTGAAGCTGGGGCAGGAGATGGGGATGGAGGGGATGGATGGGGAAGGGGATGAGGCAGCATGGCATGGTGTTCGGTATGGCACTGGCTTGGCAGGTGTGGGACAGGGCTGTGCAGTGTTTCACATACCAGGGCTCACCCTGTGAGCAGGGCTTCGGGACACCCAGGAGCAGGCACTGGACAGGCAGTATGCAGATGGGATTTGAGGTGGGAAAGCGAGGAGCGAGAGCAACGCTGCTGGAACCATTGTGGAGCTCACTGCGTGTAAAACACGCCCAGCACCAGCTTGCTGTCCTGGCTCTTCACCTGCGGGAGCAGCGGCGGGCACCAGAGATGCAGTCCCCCCAGGGTGTTGCCTGGCAACGGGCAACCAAAGGAGGATGGGAGGGAGCCGAGGGGCGCTGCCTGCCCGGTACCGCATCAGTGAGAGGGAGATGCCATCGTGTGGCCACATGCGGTACTGCAGGAGCTGCGCATCACCTACGCGCGGGTACCTCCGGAACGCGTTTTAGGTGAACGAAGGGAGGGGGGATTGCTGTGTTGGCACCATTTCGGTGGTCTCCCTGTGTAGGAAACTAAGTAGGTATTTCCATAAGTCCTCATAAACCCCACTGGATTGTTTTTGGTGGGCTTCAGCTACAGAATGAGCACTGAGATGAGTGTGAGCAATGTGCTCCCAGGTGGGCTTTGTTACCCTTACCAGGCACCAGCAGGTTCTCTGAAGCCATAGTTTGTTCTGCTCAGGTCCTTCAGCTAACTTCCTGCCTGGGCAACTCTTATTTCTATAGAAACAAATACAAATCATTTTTAAACTTACAAATACCCAATTCTGATGATTTCGTTTGTTGAAGGTATTTAATACCAGCTTTCTTTCTAGAACGGGATGCATATGGGGTAGCAGGCAATGGCCATTTTGGAGGGGGAAAACAGTTGCATCAAACTCTCAAATGCCAGGTAAGAATAGAATTGGTCAATAAATACTGTTCTTCAAAACAGTAAAAAAAGCACCCACAGAATTATTAATAATAACATTAATTCTACACTAAGCTCCTAGGTGTAGGCACAGCTGCCCTTGTGCAGTTACCAAATTGTAAATGCACGTACAGGTAGAAAACAAAACTCCACAAAAACCCCAAAACCAACCCACCTAGAAAATCCTCCAGGTACAAGCTTGTCTTTCAGGAAGTATTTACAGAGCCAAACGAAGCCCCTGACCAGGCAGCACAGAACTGGGCGCAGGCAGCACAGGACTGGGCGCAGGCAGCCACACACAACCACACACAGAACTGGGCAGGCAGCACAGACTGGGGCAGGCAGCACAGAACTGGGCGCAGGCAGCACAGAACTGGGGCAGGCAGCACAGAACTGGGCGCAGGCAGCACAGAACTGGGGCAGGCAGCCAGAACTGGGCGCAGGCAGCACAGAACTGGGCGCAGGCAGCACAGAACTGGGCGCAGGCAGCACAGAACTGGGCGCAGGCAGCACAGAACTGGGCGCAGGCAGCACAGAACTGGGCGCAGGCAGCACAGAACTGGGCGCAGGCAGCACAGAACTGGGCGCAGGCAGCACAGAACTGGGCGCAGGCAGCACAGAACTGGGCGCAGGCAGCACAGAACTGGGCGCAGGCAGCACAGAACTGGGCGCAGGCAGCACAGAACTGGGCGCAGGCAGCACAGAACTGGGTGCAGGCAGCACAGAACTGGGTGCAGGCAGCACAGAACTGGGTGCAGGCAGCACAGAACTGGGTGCAGGCAGCACAGAACTGGGTGCAGGCAGCACAGAACTGGGTGCACTGACACTTCAAAGAGCTCCAAGGGATTCTGCTGAGCCACAGTTCTTGTAAGGCCATCCTAATGGAAGTGTTTCACAGTAACTCCTGGCTGAGCTGCTGCCGCAGACACTGCTGCAGACTGTGTGAGTATCTTCACCCCAGAGTCCCCAGCAGCAGCACTGGGGTCTTGTCCCTCCTCTTCTGACACCTTCCACTTCCCTTACATGCCGGCAGCTTGCTGTGGGGGGACCCCCGGCGTAGGCTGGCGAGGCAAAGTGTACATGGCCCCCAGGAACTGGTCTGCGATGCGCCCGGCTTCCCTGAGGCCGCTCAGCAGAGCCCCGTGAACGGTGGCGGGGTAGTTGCGAATCGTGTGCTCCCCCGCAAAAAACAGGCGAGGAATGGGCTGGGGAAGCAGAGAACAAACACCGCTGTTAAGGCCTGCTCGTGCTCCTCCAGAGCCTGCAGCAAACACACCTGGAGAAGAACGATACACGTCCTCTAGATAGAATAAAGGAGACAAACTTCCTCTGTTGTAGGCTGCAGAGAATAATGTTATCCATAGCTATGTTTATTAATGATTTGTATCGCTAGAAAAAGACCCCAAATAAAGCCAAAGCTGCACATCTTTCTCTGCTGGTGCTACCAGAATGGCTACTGCTTTCAAAACCTCATCCTTTCAAAGCGAACTGGAGATGACTTAATGCCTCACTGGGTTCACTCCCAGTCTGGGAGACACCTTTTGGTTCCTGTTCCTCTCACTCTGACCTTCACCCTCTTTCCAATCACTACAACTCACTTAAATATGGTGATGGACAACACAAATATGGAGTATGAACACAAGAAATGCATGGCATTATAATACTCTGTTCAGATATTACCAAATTGACTTGGAGTAAACCAGTCCTTTTTCTAGTAAAGAAATGACACCAAACCTGGGCAGGCAGAAATCATGGGTGGAAAACTGAATTATTGTACAGGTTCTGATCATCATCAGAAGACGCAGGTGACCTAAACCTGTGCTTAGATATGGGTGTGAATCACTCAGAAACATCCCCCTGGTTGAGGCCTTATGGGGAGAACAGAGCCATCTCTCACCTGCGGAGCACCTGGAATGGCTGGGCCTGGAGTAATTGGCTGAGCCATCAAATCATAGTCATTGCCAGAAGACCCGGCTGCGACATAGGAGTAGGAGCCCCGGGCCCAGGGGTCAGCGCGCCAGCGGGACACCACCGTTTCCTTAGGCTGAGACAAGACAGAAGCTTCAGTTGGTGTCACAGGGCAGGGCCTACAGATCTTCAAAACACAAACTGCACAGACTGCAAGAATGAAGGACACCAGGCCCTCAGGCTAACACTAACGGAGGCCCCAAGTCTGTATTCCATGAGAACACACACAGTGAGGTAAATGACTTGCTTTGCTGTCAGCACCGTGACTCTTTGCATTATGTCATGAGAACCTCCTGCACACAGCTGCTGCTTACTCCTTCCTCCCCCTTCAGTTCTTTTCCAGCCAAACCAGTTTCTTGTGGAGTTCACTGCTCAAGAGCTTCACTGTACTTTAGAGAAGGTGCAGACCATGGCAGGGAGCACCCAAGCAGCGCTGTCACCAGCCATGGACAGCTCAGCTGTAACCCCAGGAATGTAAAAGGCAGAAAATGAACTGAAGTATTTGACAGTCTGGAAAAGCTGGAGTCAAAAAAAACCCAAACCCAACTCAAACCAACCCAGAACCCAGACAAACACAGCCCCAAACAACACCCCCCAAACCACCCCAAACCTACAAACAACCTCTTCTCACAAACCCCTGAACACACACAGGGCAGTACCTATAGAACCCAGCACACTCTAAACCGTGGAGGAGGTACCTGAAGATGCTGTCTGCACTGACCTGAGGCACAGCGCTGCTCCCAAAGATGCCTTTGAGGATGGCAAGGCACCGTCCAACAATGACATCATCGCTGATGTTCTCCATGATTCCTGCTGCTTCTCCTGCTACCAAGGCCAACAGAATTGGTGCTGGGGTGGGGGGAAGGAGAGAGAAAACACAACTGAATCACTGCCATCAATCATTTTAATCTGACAAGTTGGACTTGAACAGGCCTTGGCCTGAAAGAGACTTCAGTAATCCAACAGCACAGTGGAGCAAGAGGCACCTGGAGCACAGGCCCCCTGCCCCAGGACATGCAGTGCTCCTGAGGCTACAGGTTCTCAGCAGTCACTGCCTCAAACAGACTGAAACCACTGGGAGGATTCCTGTCTGCACTACAACAGCTCACCCACAGCCATACAAGCACACGCAGTCTGCTCAGCTGAGTTCCACTTCATTCACCCACCCACCTTTAAATACTTCTCAGAGACCAGTTCTCTGCCAACAGAAGACCTTCAGAGAACGCCCCCAGAGCTAATACAGGATGTCCTGTCATAGTTGTAGGGTTTTTGCTTCTGGATTTGTTTTCTGGATTGTTCAATCTGTTCAGTTTAAACAGCTTCTGCCCAAAATGCTACGGCTACAGAAATACACAAGATGAATCCAGTAGCAGACCCTTTGTATGAGAGATGGTCTTTCTATATAAACCAAAACCCCAATACTACCTGTTAAGTATGTAATAGAGACATCTTAAAGCCACAAAAGCAGACACACAAACAGCCCTCTTATCCAAGGCTCATGACGTGTATTTCTCCAGTCAACTCTTACCAAACATTTGAACAATTACCCTAAATTACAGGTATTTTAACAAATACCCTAGAAGGGCCCCTTCTTTGCACAGCCATTTTCCCCAGTTGAAAGAAAAACCTGCCCTGCCCTCTGGTACTTGAAACAGTCATCTGCAGGAAAAAGGACTCATTTAATAGTGCTCACTGTACACACAGCTTCGCTCTGAGCATGATACATGGCAATCGACAAAACCAGCATGCTTAATGAAAGCATCTTCTGACAACTTCTGGTGGCAGACACCGGCTGCAGGGAAAACAAAACCACTCATGGCAAAGTCCAGCTGCAGAAACAGGCAGGGCAACACCTTTTGCTGCTTAAGCACTTAATAGAGAGGAGTTCGAAAGTTAGTCTGAGCTCACAGTCTAGTCAGGGCTGCTTTGCTGCTCAAAACAGGAAACAAGCCCATCCACTGGAGACACCACAGCTTGCATTTCCACTGCATCTCAACCATTTGGATGGCCCTGCAGCCCATCAAGCTGGAATGGTAACGCTCAGCAAGAACAGAGCTACAGCAAAGCCTCTAGTCTGCCCCACTGAAACCTGCACATCCAATACTTCCACTTGTCTTCCTACAAATACTATTTTCTTATCATATCCATATGTGAACACCAACAGCATTTTAAAAAGTGCTCTTTTCTAGACTGAAACTCACAAATAAGACACTGGCAAGAGCAGAGATGCACCACAGCTACCTTTGTACAGGTTCCAAAACAGGAAAAGTTCTCCTCTGCTTGCAGTAGTGCTACCAACATGACCAAACAAATTGACGCTTGGATCCCAGAAGACACGATCAAAGCACAACACAACCTAGAGACAAAAAGAATCAGGAATTAGGAGGAGGGCACAGAAAAAACACTGCCTTCCACAGGTTAGTGTGCTCTTGCAGGTTACAGATTTGCTGGTTAGCGAAAGCTACAGCACACAGACTGAGCCTGCCTCCTCCTGAGCATCCCCTGCCCTGCTGCAGCTCCCTCAATGACCAAGTCACCTTGTTAAGGTTGCCAAATCCCATCCGCTGAACTGCCGAAGTTTTCCACTCAGGAAGAGGTGGCACAAACTGTACTGCTGGAGGCTGCTGCTTCAGTACTCCCAAGGGAAGAGTACACAGCACAGCATCACATTTGTAAATGAAAGTCTGGCTCGTAGATCGGGTATTTACAGCTATCACTTCACACCCTGGAAAGGGGAGAGAAAACAATCATTCCATGGGCCAGCAGGCGAGAGCCTTGCATTAAAAATCAGAGAAACTCCCATAAAGACATATCCACATCAGAAAACATTTCATTTATGGAGAGAGCTTTACACTAACAATTACTTTACTTTTACTGAACGTTACAGACCACATAGCTCACTTCCAGAAAGTGCATTTTACACAGCATCTGAAAATGGCCATACTGGGATAAGCCTAAAGGTTCATCTAGGCCAGTTAAATATAGTTAAATATATGCATAAACAAATAGCAAGTAGGCAGTGAGCCTCTCATTGAGTTGCTCTCCCAGCTGAGAGTTTCCCAAGTCCAGTGTTTAGAAGAACAACAGAAAGATACAGTCCTTCCAGTTGCTTGAATTCATGTGACATTCATTTACACTTCTAATACCAGATCCTGGGGCACCAAGTCTTAAAGCAGTCCAAGACCTCTTACTCCAAACACTTCAATCATTGAATAAAGGAATGGGAGCATGAATGTGAATCAGCAAATATAACTGAAAAGCACCATGTTGAACCAGCCACAGAAATGAGTAAAAACCACTGAAGATCAGTACATCTCTAAGAGCTTCCTCATAATTCCTTATGATCACCAATGTGATTTATCCAACCCAAAATATGTAATGGGAGGGTCTGTAAGAGATCAGTTTTCACATCTGCTTCTGGAAGCACTGAAATCTCATTTCGATGAGCACTGTCCTTCAGAGCAGTTTTCCAGAGGAGGGGTTTGCTTTACCTGATGCTGTGTAGCGAACCTGGCGAACTGCTGTGTTCAGTTTAATATCCAAGCCTTCTGCTAAGGCTACAGGCACACAGGAATAGCCATTCCTCACAGTCAAGTGACTGCCTGTGAACTCAAAGTCATCATCCTAAAACAGCAATGTACAGAAACATGGATTTATAATGAAATCACATTAATTCAATAGAAAATAATCAGCAAATCTACACAAAGGCTTTTTTTTTCCCCAAAACTCCCCCTCCCTCCCCAAAAAGTGAGCTGAATAGATTTGAAATTCTGGTTATTAGTCAAGAAATAAGTATGGGAACTTTCAGTAGTCAGTATTATTGCAGGGTTTTTTTTCTGGCACTAACAAAAAGCTGCTTGGAAATTCATCATCCATCAATCATCGTGTAAGAGCTCAGTATCTGCACAACAGCAGAGAGCACTGAAGGGTTTAGAAACTGTTAACATCGAGAAGCTTCCATGAGAACGAAATAAACACAGTTTAAGTTCTTAGTGCACTGGTGAGTGAATACATGAATTAGTTACCTGGTCCCAGTGCTTCAGTGAAAGCGTAGACAGGGGTGTAGCATTGGCAAATTCTAGGTTTGCAAAGTGCCAGTCGAGTATTTGCCTGTCTCTTGATGACAGGTAAACATCACTAGGAGAAAACCCAAACATAACACATTCAGTTTGCTGTTTCAAACGTGTGAGCCTCAGTCATAAAAGCTGAACATCGAACCCAGCAAAGTCACATTTCAAAGCAGAGCTCATGTAAAGTATTTTCAGTGAAGCCAAACACTTAACTTTAGAGATAAAAATAGTTACATAGGACAAGGGGGAATTGGTCTGAACTTAAATAGGGGAAGTTCAGATTAGATATAAGGAAGACGTTCTTCACTGTGAGGGTGGTAAAGTGCTGGCACAGGATGCCCACAGAAGTGGTAAATGCTCCATCCCTGTTAGTGCTCAAGGCCAGGCTGGACACAGCCTTGGTGGACGTGGTCTAGTGTGAGGTTCATAGAATCACAGAACAGTTTGGGTTGGAATGGACCTTAAGATCATCTAGTTCCAACCCCACTGCCATGAGCAGGAACACCTCACACTAAAATCCCTTTATGTTTATTATATATTTAATAATATTAATTATACAACACATAATATATATTAACTATATCATATATATTTATTATATAAATAACGGCTTAAGTACCATAGATAGTAACAAAGTACAAAGATAATGACTAAAACCCGAGTGTAGTCACACAGAGCACAAAACAATAATATTCTGCCAATACAGGCAGGATTGGCATGCTACCATTACTGACAGGGATTTCAAATCTCAAAGGCTTCCACTATCAGGCACTGGTTACAGTCAGGATTTTACTGAAATGCAGCCTAGCTAAGAACCACCTTTTTATCCAAGTCACCTCCAAAAACAAGGAAAAGGAGTTCTACAGCTGCAGGAGTTCAAACTTCACATTTGTACCTTCCTAACCCCTTGAGTTACCATAATCAAAAGTAAGCAAACCACTGCATTTTTTGAAACTCAGCAGTTTCTACAGAAAAGCAGTAAAAATCCTGCTTTCCTGAGTATTTCTTTTTACAGTTTGTATCTTTACCTTGGAGGATTCGCTTCGAGTTCTTGTAACTTCTCCTCCAGCTTTCCTTGTGTTTCTGCCAATTCATCATACTCCTAATAAGATTAAAAGATAACATCAAAATCAGTTTCCATGTAAAAGGCCTTAAAGACATCATGGAGCATCAGACTAGAGCAAATCTCAAGAGAAATCAGTGGAAGATTAATGGTTTTAGGAATCTAAATCAAGGTCTTTATTTTCTTTAACATTTAATCCAGCATATTCTACTCTATAATCTGTTGAACAAATAGCTGAAAAATGATCCTTGGTTCTATCTGACTCGGGTTAGCAAGGTGTCTTTTACTATCACAGAAAGAACAGGTATTAAGGTTTGATTTTTAAAGCATATTCTACCCCCAGGTACACACAGAACGAGGGAGTAACTCTGCTTGTCAAGATAGAGCTCTTTAAATTGTAATCTTTGGACAGAAAGAAGTCTTTTATTCAGGAAACCACCTTTTTCTTAGAGAAAGGACTTCTCTCTTCAGATTCAGATTTTATTTCCATTGTGAGACCCAGCAGTACTAAAGACCAGGTCTGACCTAAAATTTAGCCTTCAAAGCATTAAATGCTGCCTGACATGAGGCAGCACAGACTGGTACCTAAAAGTGAGCCTTCAACATATTAATATGAAGCTCAGGTACCTAAAGGTACTTAATGCAGTTATCAGTATTATAACCCAGAGTTGCCATCAATCACATCCTCTTAAGAGTGCTGGAGTGAGAAATGTGGTATCATTTATACTGGCTAGTTTTATCTGGCTGCTGAAACCCTCAGAAACCACCGACTTAAGCGGTGTATGTACATCACCGTTACCTTGCAAAGTGCAGTCAGATCTCTGTGTTTGCTTTTCACAAGGAACTCTGCTGTAATATCTCGAGGTGGCTTCACTTCTGATGCTTCCTTATACTGCTGATGAAGTTCTTTAATCTTCTCTTTTAAATTCACCATCTTTTTCAGGTGGAGCAGGAAGAGGGAGGAAGAAAGAGAAAAAAAGAGTAGATTTGGTGCAAGTGACTGTGTAAAGTGGACATTCATCTCAAGCTATGCCATTATACCAAAGAGATGTCGTGGTTTTAGCAAATGTTACTTATGCAATTCTACAGACAGGAAACTGTAATAAACAGCACCAACCCCAAACCAACATAGCTGAACCCCAGCATCACTGATTTCTTACAAAGTATGCTGTAAATAACTTAAGATATGAGAGCTGACCTCAGTCATGTTCAATTTGAGAAACTTCCATGGAACAGTGAAGATGCCATCTACCACAACCGAAACCACTGTAACTAGACCCAAACCACTGTTTCTGCACTACAAATCAGATTTGTGCTAAAGAAAGTTCACATTTTAAAATACTCCCCCCAAAAGCCTCAGTCATTATCAACATCTCTACAGGAAGCTACGGCACAGCTCTGCTCATGTCCAACCTCTCCCTTTCTTTTCCCATATTTCATGTTTTACAGTCTCCTGACTAATTGCTTACATGCCCCTCCTCAAAAATGAAGTCCTTTGTCAGAACAGTGCTTCTAGGCAAGGCTTAAATGAAAAGATCTTTAAGAACAGCATCCGTGGCAACCTTCTGATGCTTTCCATGGAAGTTTTTGTCCATGTTGCCACTTTCTGAGGAACCCAATGCTCTCCTCTTGTTCTAAATGTCACCACCTAACCTTGTTAAGAAGGTCTTTCAATTCCTCCTGTGTTTTCACAATTTTTTTCCAGTGCTCAATCTGCTCATCCTTCACGTGCTTCTCCTGCAACCTGGAAAAGGTGACAAGTGAGAGTCAGTTCAGCATAAAATCCTTGCAATACTGAGAAAACTCATTATCACAAACTAATTACTGTAACGTAGTAAAAGCTCATCATGGGATATTTTAGTAAATACTCCCATGGTGATTAGAAAATTAATAGACATTTCTGTAAATAAGAGCTACCTGACTAGCTGAAACACGAGTCTGAAGTTACCTACTGTTATTAAAAGGCAAATTACAAATACAATTAGCTTTCAAGTAGCGTAAGTGTGCTGTCTGCACTCCAGACTACATCAATGATCTGGCAGTGTTAAAGGCCAGGCTGGATGGAGTCTTGGGTGACACAGTTTAGTGTGTGGTGTTCCTTGCCCATGGCAGGGGGGTTGGAGCTAGATGATCTTTAGGTCCTTTCCAACCCAAACCATTCTCTGGTTCTATGATTCCATGATCTGTCAGTTACTGTAATGATTTTCAGAACCTTTCAAGAAAAGATGTTTGCTCCTTTAGCCATCTTCTTTCAATGTTATCTCATTTCAATGAACACCACACACAACACACACACAAAAACCCAGCAAAGACCAAACGGCTGTGTAAGTGGGTAATGGTTATCCTAGGAGCATCACGAGTCTCAGGTATCTTTAGGAACATCCTCCACAGAATAGGAAAGTCTGCCATGAAGAGGGAAGTCACTCACTGTATGACAACCTCCAGAGCCTGACCTAGGGAGACAGGCTTATTATTGAGAACATTAAAATCCAGCTGATGACTCAGGTAGGATGTGGCTTCCAGCAGACGATTAAATTCTTGCTCCACCATTTCATCTTTCTCTTTTGGAACCTAGGAGTCAAAAGAACAGACCTTCATCTGAATAAGAAATTCACAGTAAAAAGGAAAAATGGAGATCCTGAAAGCTCAGAGCCTCAAAGACAAGATAATTGAGAAGAAGAGAGAAAACTTTAAAAGCACCCAGAGCAGTGTAAATTCACAAACTGAAACCACCACCACTTCCCAAATCAGAGGAATGCAAAAGCCAGGGCACAGATAAATTCTTAGAGCAGTACTCAAAGAAAAGGTGCCACATGCCCTGAACGAGAGTGACACTTCAAGAGCACAACAAAAACATAGCTAAGAAATTTAATACTCTCTGCTCTCTCAAACAGTCAAACACCAAGGGCTGCTCAACACAAAGTCACTTTGCCAGGGTGTCTGGCCAAAGAGCTACAATAAGAACTGGTAAATCACAACAACAACCAACTTATGGGCACACAAAGATTTCCTTACTGGAATGTGTGTCCATCAAAGCTCCAGAAACTTAACAATGGGACAAAAGGCTGCTCTGACGGTAGGACAGCTCTATGCAATCACAAGGCTTTACAAGGCCTGGCAGAGCTCAGTGGAGTAACTTACCGTTTGGATTGGTCAGCATGACTAAGAACTACCAACACATCTTTTCTAGGATGATGGAAGAAGCTTCCCAACATAAGAGCAGACTGACTGTTAAAACTGTCTACTATGCCTTGGTGGCTTTCCCTGAATTCATTATATTCACCCTATTCACTCAGATGCAGCAGGAAAAGACGCAGGTGATAGGTCACACCAGATTTGTGCCAAGGATCACTTTCTCAGGCCTCTAGCAAGAAGCCAAGTATCCTCATCTGTCTTCTGAAAGAAGTTACCCTCAGTACCATAATTTAAGATTCAGGAGGTAGGAAAGCTTCCAGTCAATACATGTGTGAGATTCAGCACTAAACTAGAACACACCACTTCTGTCTCTAACAGCACTCCTTCACACTACAGAGGCTATTTAAGCTTGGGAATCCCAACTCTAGAATATTAGTGCTGAACTGTTGCATGCATTCAACCAGATGACACTGGTTAATCAGGTTTTTAAAGCACAAAACAGAAGCAGAACAGCCAGAACAAGCCTATTTCAGGGAGAAGGAGCAGCAACACCAACAGAAGCTGGAGTGCCAGCACAGCAGACGATTGTTTCAGAGTGCAGCAAGACAACTAAGGAAAACCAGTCATGTATTTACAAAGAACAAACAGGGACTTAGATTCCACAAAGCATCTGAAACTCGAAGTCAAGAACTCACGTGGGAAGAACTGGTTTTAGAATAGGTGCAGATACACTGGAATATTCCTACACTGTCTAAAGAGTGACACTAACATTTTCAGTACTCCCTTCCCCTCTTCCTGTAAGCCATCTCCTGCTAGGCCAACACCCTGCTAACAAACACACTTGAGATACTATTTCTGTTTGAAAAGGTGAATGAAAACAGCATCATACTTACAGCTTGTCCGTTTGCTTCATAAAGTGGGCATTTTTGTTTGATCTTAGCCAATTCCATATTCACTTGTTTGCTGACCACAGCCATGGGATTTCCTCCTGGAAAACATTGTGCAGAGTTAACAGAGTACTCCTGCAAAGTTCATCTGCAATGAAATAAGAAATCCATGCTCAATTTCAGCTGATACTTTGGAAGATCCAAGGGAACAGCTATGAGAGTCACCAAGAAATTCAGTCAGAGGCCATTGGCAGCTTTAGAAAGAGCTGCTCAGCAAGTGCAGTGAAGCCAGCACAGATACCACCATAAAGGAAATGGGCAAAGGAACAGACACAGAGAAGGACATCATGCCAAAGAAAGAGCAAAGAATTCCACTAAGCACAAACAAACTGTAAAAGAATGGATCTGCAACAGCCTGATGACATGACAAGCACCTCTGCGACTTCAGTGACCAATGCCAGCTACGTCACCAACACAAATCCCAGTTTTTAGTGAGGGCTGACATCTGTTCTGAACATTCACTGATGAGAAATGCCAACTGCCAAAGAGTCTGAATAAAAATACCTACTTTTGATAGTTAAACCCACCTGATTCTTTTGGCCATGAAAGGAAACAGCAAAAGGTTTCACAGTTGTAACATCCTGTCCCACGATTTGCCTTCCCACTCACCAAGTCCTGTCACCACCATTGCTCCGAGGTCAGCAACATAGTTCCCTTTGCGGAAGGTCGCAACTCTTCCTCCTACTCGGTCCTTTCAAAAGCACAATGGATTAAACCCCCAGTAACATTCAGCAACACATCTCAAATACAATCCCTGGTACTTCTCCACAGCATGGTGTAAGGATTCTCTTACCCAAAGGGTCAATAAATAAAACACGCTTTGCCAAGAACCTCTGCAAATGAACACTTGCTCTTAATTCATCCAAGTTATGGAATAAAATGTTTGAGTTGCATTAACAAAAAAGAAAAAAGGAAATAAAAATAGAATTGGCAGGATTTAACCACATCTACAGTGAGATCTACTGGGATTCTACAACCAACCCTTCACTGCCCACAAATAGATGAAGTTACATACTAGATTTCCTCCAACTTCCTACCCAAATCCAACAGCTCTATAGGAAATAATTCAACTGTGCTGATGGAAACTAAGTTTTAGGGTAAGAAAACCCATCAGGCAATTATTCCTACCTGTTCTCCACAGAAGGGCCAGCTACCAGTCAAGATAACCATGAACCAACAGCCCAGTTCAGCAGCAGGAAGAAGTTTTGGATTCTTGACACATACAAGTGACTTCCCACCACTTTAAACTGAATAAGGAGGACTTGGGGGTGTTGGTTGATGAGAAGCTCCCCATGACCTGGCTTCAGTGTGTGCTTGAGCCCAGAATCCCCACATTCTCCCCAGCAACAAGAGCAGCAGTGAGCCCGAAACATTACTCTAACCTAATCAGCTTATTTCAGGCTGTGCTAGGAAAGTATCAGAAGCAAAGGAATAACAAGAAATGAAGTCAGGAAGTAAAACATTTGATAAATTCCAATTTTTCACACACTACAAAATGTAGCCCTATATAGAACTTTAAAGTCTCTGTTAAGCACCCAGTAATAAGTAAGGAAAGAATTCATGTAGATTTAAAAGGTACAAAACAACAGCCTGCCTGACACTGTATGAGAATCCCAAACAATGATTCTATTTAATGGGCAACTTCATCAAGTACAGACTTGCATTCTGCTTCCCAGCGAAGCAGCAGTTCCTAATCATGAAAGAAATATGATTCCAACCCATTACTGGTATAAGCTGATGACACAAGCACCTGATGATACAGTCCACCCCTGAGAAAGTATTAGCCAGCTCCCACTGAGGACAGACAGGACTCTTTCCTCATGAGACAGGTTTAGCACTCAGCAATACATCTGGCTGCCTGTACCTATACACAAGCTTGCCCATCTTGGGCATGCTGCTGGGCCACTTGGCCTTAGGGACTAGGCCTGAATGTGGTTACTGGTTAAGCTTCTGTATAGAAGTGAAAGAGCACAGAAATTCATACCCTGGCTTCCAGAACTGTGACATCCATTCCAAAACTCTGCAACTGGCGAGCTGCTGCCAACCCAGAGACTCCAGATCCGATGATGATCACCTTTCCAGTCTTCTTGGCTAAGGAGAGGGAAAAGTAAGCTACAGGCTCTGCATGTGCTTTATTACACCACTGCAAGCAGTTACATTAAAGTTGCATTTAAAGAGACACCAAGAACAAAAAGCAGCTTCCCTCTCATCAGTTCTGACAAACTCTTTAACCAAACAAACAGCCACAAAACAGAAAATGGAAGTAATTTTGTGCATAACATGGTAACAGTAAAACACTTCACAGTCCTGGATGACACAGGTACAAGAAAATACACCAGTAGTGCATCTGTGGCAATGAAGAAAACAGGAGGAAAAGTACTGCTGAAGAATCAATGGTTGAAGAAGAAACTGATTCTTATTAATTATTGCATCCTATTTCATTGAAGAGGTGCAAGTGTAGGATTGTGTTTGTGTCTTTTGTTCCTCAAATGAGGAACGAAGATAACTCATTCAACAGTGACAGCCCCTGAATTATCTACCAAAGATTTGCACGTCTTCCTTCTCAAAGTGATTTACTTGAATTAACAGCTCCTCCAGGCCCAAATAAACCCCAGGAACCCCTAGAGCCAAATGCACTGCCAGCATTTTTTATTTCCTCAGCTTGACTATCCCAAAAGAAGAAAAAGTCTCAAAAGTTTGGCTTGAAAAATCACAGAACAATGAACCAAAACCATTTTCAGGTTTCTTACTTGGAAGGGGCTTCACTCTCTTGTAGATCCCGAAGTTGATGAGCCCGTGCCGCTCCAGGTAGCTGTGTACTCTGTGCACGAGCACCGTATCACCTGCAAAATGGGAATGTTTCACCATCATTCTGCATGTTTGGCACTGAGAACGTCTTCACAAGCAAGCAGATCACAGCAGGAAGGCAGCAAAACCACCCTGAACACAGCCCTTCCTGCTCCCCAGCTGCCCTCCCCAAGAATCCATCCTCTTGAGAAAGGCTGAGGAGTTTTCTGGAAGCCACAAGCTGGTTTTATGCTACCCTGTAGCTTTGAATCCTGCCTGAAAAGCTGCACAGGACATGCACAGGACATGAAATGCTTCTATTTCTCTAGTGCAGAAGAACACCTTTTCTGAAACTGACTGCAGAAATCAGGAGAGCTTTATGCAGAAAATGAGTTATCACTGTTAAACCAACCCATTACTGGAGCACTGAGTTCTCATGCTTGGTTTTATAAACACAATCATTCCTTATTTTGCAATACTTGACAGTGTATCTGCACTCATTTCAGCATTGTTTTCTTCTTTAGTTACTTCCTTATGGCTCCCCTCACCTTTTCCAGTTTACTGGGAGCTTTTATGAGAAGGTTAGAACAGCCTACATGTGCAAGCAGTAGCTCCTCGCTCTTTGCGTAGAGACACAGAACGGTTTGGGTTGGAAGGGGCCTTAAAGCTCCTCCAGCTCCAACCCCTGCCACAGGCAGGGACACCTTCCACAAGAGCAGTTTGCTCCAAGCCCCTGTGTCCAATCTGGCCTTGAACACTGCCAGGGATGGGGCAGCCACAGCTTCTCTGGGCACCCTGTGCCAGCGCTTCAGCACCCTCACAGGGAAGAACTTCCTAATGTCTAACCTAAATCTCTGCTTTGACAGTTTAAAACCATTCCCCCTTGTCCTATCACTACATTCTTTCATATAAAGTCCCTCCCTTTTACTGCCCTCTTTCACTATGGCCATTCAAGTTTTATGCAATTTTTTAATGTCTCCCAGAAACCTTGTGATTAAGCAAATCTCACAGCTGCAAAGCACCATGAAGCTGTAGCAAGCTTTACAAGCTGTATGGGAATTCCCTCTCACGGAACTTCTGTACCAACCCACCTTGTTACCAGCCTTTTCTGAAGTATGCTAAGGATGTATTTCTTTACCAGACAAATGAACCTGAACAAACCTGAAACATGAGCATACTGCAATGGTCCATTCTCGACATGAACGCTCACAGGGCTCCACTAACAAAAAGACCCATCTGAAACCCTCTCCTGATTTTAAGTAACTTTTAGCCAATCAAACTTGAAAACCAACAGCAATGGTACACATGGTATGGTTTTGGCAGTAAAAGATTTGACTTACTATTATAAGGTGCTTCTAATTGTTGGATAGTTGCCTCAAATGTCAACTGAATCTTTGGGTTATCCAGCCAGAGCTGCAGCTGTATTTAAATGAACAATAAGACACATTAAGTGTTACAAAAGAGGTGTTTTCTGTGTGTTCCCAAATGTTGTTAGATGAAACCCTCCAACAAGTCACACTCCGGCAGTGCTATCCAAGCCACTGAACTTTGCCTTCTGGTGTATTTTAAGGTGCAATAGAGTCCATTTGAACTTCCTACACCAGTTCAACTAAGTGGAAACACATCAAGCCAGCAATCTCCTCATCACACATCCAACAAAACACACACACACAGAACAAAAGCTACAAAACGGCAGTGCCAGAATCACCTACTCTGTCTTCACTGATACAAGACACTACCATGGGCTCCACTGCCCACATATACTCAAGAACACGTAGAGAACAGTTACAGTTCAAAAACCAAGCAGGAGGAGCTGCCTGTGAAATAGGAATTATCACAGAATCCCAGACTGGTTTGGGTTGGAAGGGACCTTGAAGATGATCTGGTTCCACCCCCCGCTAGCCCCTCTACAAATACACAGAACAGTGCAGGCCTTAGAAGATTTAAAAGCTTCAAACCACAACTGCCCTGCACTGCCACAACAGATAAGTCAGCCTACACTCTGCTTTGTAAATGTTCATGATATGCTTTAACCAACAGTAATTCAGCCACAGCTTTTAATGTTCTGTGGTGTACCCCCCCTCCCCTCCCCTCGGGCTGGTTGGGTGTTCTGGGGTGGGGGGGATTACTGCAGAAGATCAAATGAAGTGGATCTCCTTTGGTCACTCTGAAGAGCTCAGATGGATTGTAAAGGATGACTTCCCTTTAGAAAAGCTGCTGTGAGCCTTCCAAACTCCATCTTTACTTACCAGATGATTCATTCAATTCTTGGTTCCATTTGTTACCAGGCAAATTGGAAATACCAGACTGACTAGTCTAACTCCTCTAACCTCCAGGAACTCTTCACGCCCTCTTCCATATTTTCAAATCCCTTGCACTGAGCCAGCTGTAAGTAAGAGGATGCACACTGCAGTTCACAGCTCTCCCAGAGCCCTGCTGAGCACTGGGTTTATATTACCATTTGCTTCATCCGCTGTTCTATAACCTCTGCTATCCTGACTGGAGGAGATCCTCTCACAAGTCTTCCTCAGAAAGGGATTCCTGCTTAGGAACATCTCTAAGCTCATCCATAGTGAATAAGGACCAAAGACCAGCAATGCAGCTCTTCCAGGACAGCCCTGCAAATCCCAGCCATTTATCAGTTTCAGTGGAAGGCTTCTCTGCTTCTGATGTGTTTGTAAAAGGATTACTCACTCACTATACATACGAGCATGCTGTTTTCCAAGCTTTCCCTCCCTCCTCACATTCTGGTCTGGTTTTATGTATCTCATGACTTCCCAAAAGTTACAACTTAGGTTACTTCGAGGGGGATTTCACAGGAACAGCAGAAGTCACATTCTTAGCAAGATGATGTCCACCATGAAGGAATTCCATGCAACTCTTTGAAGTTATTAAGCACTGGGTGCTACCATGATTGATACACTGTGATGCCCCGATCATCTTAAGTCTGTGAAAAAAACTGAATGCAAGAAGGTGTTTTCTCTCTTAACTATGGTAACAAAGCAATTTTCAAGATATTTCTTGCTTTGAACCCTATTTTTGTGCTGAAGAACCCAAAAGCATTGTCACAATTTAAAAACATCACCTGCAAAACACAAGGCCACTGTTTAAGTTTTGTTAAGGTTAAACCTTCAGGTGCTGGCCTGAACTCAAGTGCATGGACTCCCCTGTGAATTATTTGAATATTGCCCCTTCTTTCTGTGTTTTAGGTTGTGTGAAGTTTTGAATTAGACAGAAATGCTACAGTCAGAAGCAGAGTTTCCTTTCTTCAAGGTTACAGGTTCTTTCATGAAATCAAAGCTGGTAAAGGAAGTGTTCTGTTGTGAGAATAAGCCACAAGACTGGGTTAATAGCTCAGCACTACAGCAACTGAATGCTAAGCAAAGTATGAAAATACAAGCTTAGAGGTTTGACTTATTCTAAGCAACAATGCATGTGATTATTATCTTAAAGTATTTTACAGACACTTCTTTAAGCTGAGATCAACAGACCTCAGCTTAAGCTGATCTCTTGCACCAGCTGTTTGCTTACCTTTTAAAAGCTGCAGTAGCTGAATCACATAGTTTTGATGGTTGTTATGACCATGTTTTGGACACTGTGAATGTACTAAAGGTTCTTTATGCTGCCTCACAGCATTGCCTCAATCAAGAACTGGATAACTCCTTCCTTAGACACTCAGAGCATGAAGCAATTGCAGAAATGAACCCCCACCATCTCAAACCCAAGGAAATCTCCCAACTGTTAGACATGGTAACTGCCAAACAGCCTTTGCAAGGTACACAAACATCCTACCCTTCTGCCAGCAATACCTTCACAATAAACTTACCGTGCGGTTCCTGATGTACAGAAACACCTTCTGGGTCTGCTGTGGCCCACTGATTATATCAGGGAAGCAGGCAGCTTCTTGAGATGTCATGCGGTCATGTGGAAGTCTACTCTGGAAAGCTGCACCCTCCACACCTACAACAAAAAGACAAGTTGTCTACAGGCACTGCAAAAGGATCTGTTAGGTAAGTACTTTTACACTACCCTCCCTAGCCAGTGCATCCAGCCATGATGTGATACGGGGCCAGTTTCGTGTCATGCTTTCACTCAGTCCTTTTCTTTACTTCTGCAAGACAAGCAGGCTCCCAAGTGAACAGTTCTTTGAATTACAGGCATCAGTCAGGGTTAATGAACAAACTGCACCGCAAACAAGCAAAAACCCCAACCAACACCCTGAGAAATAACAGGGGCTGGGCACACATCAATAAAACGTGTATCAAATATAACACATCTATAATACAGGATCAATAAAACTGCTTTAGAATCTGCCCTTTACTTGCGTGGTTTCCAGTTTCTACCAGAATATGAAAAACATTTTGGAGCCTGCTCAAAGCCAAAAGATCTGTGAGACACAAGCACAACGCCTACAGCCCTCATATGCTTTTCAAGGTTTCATTTGCACTGACCTCAACCTGGAGGAACCCATCCTGACCTCTCCTCTTCCACATTTGCCACACTCCCCACAAGCAGTGCAATGACAAACAATCATATTCACACTTTTCCTGTGCCCCTCCCCTGGTGCTGCTCCACATGTCAAAGACCAATGTTGAATATATACAGGAGACATTTTATCTGTGGAAAGACTTCATTCATAAAGGTACCTGCACTTCTGTCAGTTCAAACACTGGCAATGAAGTAATCACAGTTATGGACCCTACATTCTCCATCGCATTTGACTGTTGTCCTATATATATAAAATATACTCTAAAGTAACAAACCAAGCCACAGCTGCATAAAGTGTTACAGCACAAGTGCAGAAAGCAAACCCTGCAGGCACAGTGAGCCAAATGCAACACTGAGATGGGAAATGCAGCAAGAGGAAGAGAAACTCCTATGTCCTAGGAAGTGTGTTAAGATCAGGACAGACAGAGGAGAGGACATTCAACCTGGAAAGATATAAACCCATATCCCAAGAGAGAAAACCACACAGGTAATGCAGTAAGATCAGGATCATCCACTGGAACTGGAACTGTTCCAAAAGATTCTAACAATTCAAAGACCAGACAAGCTTGCAGTTTATGACAGTAACCAAGACAACTGTTTGCAGGTTTGAGGTTCATGTGCAGAGGTACACACATGGGTGTACTGGGGAGAAAACTTCTTTCAGTTCTGGTGCAGGCACACACAGCTTTAACTCCCAAGGGTTTTTACATCCCAAAGGTGAAGAAAAGAATGTAAGCAAGGAAATGGTGGTAAAGCTAAAACCCCACAGTTCATTCACAAGCAAAGATAAGACCTAACTGCATGATGGCTCAAGGGAAAGAAAATGGTCTGTGATCATTTACAGGAATTTTACAACAAGAGGAAATTAGTACCAGAGGCAACAGAGCACTGCAAGAAAGTAAAATAGAATTCATAATAGGAGAAGTTAACACACCACATTAATTCTTGACACTAATATGAAGTGATGGAATAGAAACCCACAGCTCTGCAGGAATTCCAGCTTCTCCAGTGATACATATGCCCCAGCCCTTCTGTTGTCCTTCAGCCTAACACTGGACCAACCGTGCAAACATCTACATACGGATGCATGAGTTAAACAATGAACTCCATAAAGCTGTGCCTGTAAATCAAACCAAACTTACCAATTCTCTAATCCTTTATTAATGGTAATGAATGTTCCTTAAGGTTCTAGATGATCAAGTGTCAGCAACAAGCTCAGCAGCACCATTTCCAGGGAATGGCCAGTTAAACAAAGGTTTGAAATGCTGAACCTGACTCCCTCTTACAGGTGGATACAACAAGTGGGCTTCTCCTGACATCTGCTAAAGAGCATCGCCCGTGGCGCAGTGATAACTACCAGGAAACTCAGACATGTCCATTAAGGGCCAGAGAAACTGGTGCCCTGAACAGCCCTGGAAATAACTCCAAGCAGGGGGAAGGGATTGTTGGTTTGGGTTTTTTAGGGCCACATGTCCATGACAACACCCAAACCCAGCGAACACTTCATTTCATTTGGCCCAGCCATCAGAAGATCTTCCAAAACCTGCATGTCCCTGAATTTACTTCTGCAACTACACAACTCCAAGGGAAATCCATTTCAGAGTGGTTAAATCCCCCCCATCCCACATCGTTCCTGCTTGTGTTTCACAAAAGCAACACAGTAAAGGCAGTACCAGTTCAGAACTGTCCTTCGGGCAACTGTTCCATGTCTGAAGGGATAGGTCAGCCTAGACTGAAGTCCTGGATGCTCATCTCTTGACACACAGTTGTGCACCCATTGCCATTTCCTGGCATTCAGCATCAGCCACCAACGTGCTGAAGTTTTGATTATCTTCTTCCTCACATGAGGAATCTTGAGAGATGCTGCTCATTTATGGACTGAAACATGTGCAGATTAAAAACCCTCTGAAGGGAAGTCACTTGGCTGCTGAATCAGACAATTATTAAAGCACACCCTCAGCATATACATCAAATGTAAAATATGCACAGTTTCCAAACAGCCAGTGCCTGCCTGAAAACAAAGCAGGCAACGCATCCTTAAGCCCACAATCTGCAACAATCAGAAATCCCATGCAAGTGGTAAGATCCAAACCATAGCTTCTTACTTAGAACAGCAAGGATGCACTCTCAGATGAGCATCCTGAAGTTATATCTGCTTCAAAAAGAGCAACCTGCAGGTACAGAATAGGCTCTGGATCCTTCAGCTCCTTTGCTTAAAACCCTAATCCTCAACCCTTAAGTGAGAGCAGAAGTGGCAGAGCTGGAGGAAGATTCTCCCTTGAACTCAAGCACTTAGGAGTCAAGACACCAACTGTGGGAATCGAGCAGTAGGTGCATGCTGCCAGCACCAAAACTCAGGCCAAATGGTGAATTCCCAACCCAGAAGCAGACTACACCTGTCCCTGACAGATAAATCTCCTGGGCTCACCACTGGCTCAAGCACAAACCTCTCAAAAGGAAAAAGCACAAGAACAAAGGAGCAGAAAGGCACTCCCTGCGAGGTTCCTTCAGCAGATTAGAGGAAAGGTTCTGCTGTGCTGAAGCCCAGGCCTTTCAGTGCCACTGAGGGTGGTAGAAACTGGCCAGGTAAGAAACACCTTTCTGCACGTTTGGACTCCTCTGCACAAGGAGAGGAGTGGAGGGATGAGAGATCGGCCTGAGGCATTTCAACAGAGGTTGGTGTCCTCCCTGCAGCTGGTACAGACCTCAACTGAAGCTGGAAATACCCCTCACTTGTTAAACAGCTCCTGTACCTCTGGCTAAGTCCTGAACAACCGCACCCATGCGCACTTGCAAGCATCACTCCCTAACCTGGCGGCTCCTGCTACTGATTGGCAAGCATCAAACGCCACCCTCACCTGATGCTTGGCCGTCTCCATACCCTCCAGAATTGTCGTCTTGAAGTCCTCCTGCTTGCCCTGTGGAAGGAAAGAGGAGAACTCAGGGACCTTACTCCATAAGTTAAACCATACTGGACATAAAGGCCTGGCAGTTGGCGTTGTAGATATTAAATTCCACCAACCAGCTAAACCCATTTCCTGAGAATCCCATCTGCTGGAACCTAGGTTCAGGGCACCAATCTCTGCAGTCTTCTATGTGTTATCCATGTGATTGGAACGCTTTACATCAGACTTAATGGGACATAAAGAAGTACACAACATTCCTAGTGGCTAAATACTTATGATGACTTCATGAATGTCTAGGATTTGATTAATAAGCTTACATTTCTTACTGCCAAGATCTGGTGGGTGGGTACCACCACATTCCATGGGTCACAAACCAAAGGGATTTGATAATCTTGCCCTTGTTGTCCTGAGTCTCTCCATGTGCAAGGGGATAGTTTGAACCATTCCAAAAAGCCTCTTACTCTCAAAAGAGCCTGCTCTTTTTAGTATTCTGCCATAAACCCTTCCCTGAAGCTTGATGACAGAACTGGGTTTGAAAGGCTCAGACCACTTGTTTTGGCTTCAGTGCCCTTGATTCACCAACAGTGTTCTGACACACAAAGACCACCTCTGAATCAGGCACATGTCAATCCATGCAATGTGGTCAATACCCAGCACTGAAAGACATCAGCCTTCCAATGTATCCAGGGCTGAAAACATGAGGAAAGGCAAAGCACTCATCTGAAAGATCTGGAGAAGTCTCAAAACTGCCTTAGCCTGCATGCAAGTCCTAACAGCAGCCTTGACAGGACTACAGCACAACAAGGAACAGAGATGGAGTACAGCCGAGATATCTGCAGGAACAAAGGTGATGTAGGTCACCTCACACACTGCTCATCGTCGCAAGAGATGCTAGCTCCAAGTTCACCTTGTAAGCAATATCCTTACACAGTCAGGTATTTATTTGCCTACTGTTGTCACCTCCAGAGAGCAGAAAGCCATGGAAGGCTACAGGGACAGCCCAGCACTGTCTGGCTGCTGCTGCACCAAGGCAGCACATTGGGTGCTTTCTCAAGTCCAAGCAAACCCCCCCTTGAAACAAACTGCTGAGGTCCTGGTAGCAAATGGAACAGTCACTTTCTAGAGCAGAACTGCTCAAGGTGTCATCTCCAAACAGGCAAGAGTAAGGCCTAACCTAAGGCTGAACATACAACTGCTAAGATTACTCTTCAGAGGCTGAAACTGGGTGGCCACTTTTGCCAGACTGCAATTTGAGGCTCTCAGGGGATACACTGCAATTGCAGCTGAATTTCAGCTGAATTACAAATCTCACCCCTAAAGCAAAGGCACAGAAAGCAAACCAAATGTTTTCATGCATTGATACCTGGGTTAACATCTGGAATGCGGTAACATGTTCAAAAACTCACAAGACAGACTGTAACAAATAACTGCATCAGAGGCCTCAGAAGTCCCAAAATCAGGATTATATGAACTGATGTATCTGGAACAGCAAGAAAAAATGTCTCACTTCATCTACACTGGAAGTACTTTATTTTGCTGGGACATTCCAAGACCTGCTTCTGTTCCGGGAAAGACTAACACAACAAAAACGTTCATACTTAACCTCCAGCACAGGCCATTCGTTTGCAGGAAAAGTTGTATTTATGCCTTCTGTAAATTAAGAAATTGAAAAGATGCTGACATCAGCTTCTTGCATTCATTATCCCTAAATTAGTAGTGACAATGAGGAGATGGGACAAAATTGCTCCCAGGTTACTTACAAGAAAACATCAGCATTTTCCCCTCTTCTGTTAGGAACAGCTAAAGCAGGTCAAAAAAGAAAGCATCACTATTACTGCTTGCTCAGACACAATTCTAATCATTACCCAGTCCAAGTACAGAAGTATGGAAACAAGGTCTCTAGTGCAGGTTGCTCTCCTTCCCCCTAAGAAAGTCAGGTTCCAGCTGCAAAGGAACAGAGCAGCAAGCGAACTGCTGATCCCTGCTGACATCCAGTTACTGCAGCCCAACACAACATGAGCAGGAGCAGAATCTGTTGGAAGTCCCAAGGCAACAGAATACCAGCTGAGGAGCAGGCAGGAAGAAGGGCAACAAAAGAGTCCCCTTCATATTGTCTTAAAATCAAGACTGGTGGCCCATGATTACAACTGTGTACTGAGTTTCATTAGGAAAACAGACAAGTCGGATGAAAGACAGAGAGAGCAGCACCGAGTGTGACTGTTCACTTGACGTCCATCTGCATCATGATCAGTCTTGTGCTCTCTTGGAAAACAGCAGCTAGAAACACAAGATGCCCACAGACAAGAGGAAGAAAAGGAGCTGGTAAAGAGTACCTTCAGGAGGCCAGAAAAGTGAAAATCCCATCCGGCAAGGACAAACAAGAAAGATCCTTAGAAGAGAAAAACGAAAGCAGCAAGCTCCTCATTCCAAAGGGGTGCTGGCAAACACCACAAATGTCACTCAGCACTGACAGGGAGTTTGGAAGCTTTCTGCCTTCAGAAAATATTTCTCAGTTAAAAAAGAGAGATACTTTAAGGAAATTGCCTTAATCATGAAATCCTCTTGCACCTTTTCAAACTGCTCTGCAATAAAACACAGCAGATCCTGCAAATGCAGACTATAACAATTCGCAGAGCCAAAACATCTGGAATTTCCCACAGTGGAACCCATCAATGGAACCCACCCCAAATAAGACCAGCATTTTGCTGTCACCTGAAGTGTGATATTTAATAACCTCCTTCTACTGTAAACTGACAGTGAGGACTAATGAAACACCAGCCACTGTCCCTATTACATGGTTAAGTTTGCAAATGAGGCTTTTCAACACAAAGGGTCATAACCTGTAACACGACAGCTTTACACCTCTACTGCACTACCTATACTTTTAGAGGCTTTAAACACACAAAGGAAATTATTCAGGTCTGCAATGAGAATAAATTAACAGGAATACACAAACAACCTCTATTTTGTTGTATTTTCAATATGCAATCCTGTTCTAGAATTACTGTCCTACTCAATACTTCGAACATTTCTATTTGTTTCAAAGCAGCAACAGAGAGAAAAACAACTCTACCATAAACACTGCTTCTACACACAGCAGACTCCAATGCCCCTTCCTGCTAACAGCTGTTTGAATGAGAGGTTTCAGTGCACTTTAACAGCCAGCAAGAGATGACCTGATGCTCCTGACGTGTATTAACAAAGACAGATCCACCAATGTACATGGTTTCAGAAGCCTTTAAAAATACAGCAGGACTAGCTATGGAATGACAATGGAAAATCTGTCATCTTCCTACATCACTGCTTCATGCATATCACAGCATTTCTGGAATGGAGAAAGGATACAATGACCTGAAATCTCCTCATCTCTAGGCAGCTGGATATAGCCCGTTCTCAAGCTGGTTGACTAAATCGAGTGCTTGTGGAATAACTGCCTAAGAGACTCTTGTATGCATAGAACAGCATGTGTCTATCACTGCCTATTTTCCACAACTCTTCCTTCACAGGATAAAACACTTCACTGATTATGCCTCAAACCGATTCCAGTAATCACTCCTAGAGGTGCAAAATGGCAGAGGTATCTGAGAGATCTCTCACAAAGTATCTGGGAACATCAGAAATGTATTAGTATCAGGCCTCAGGGATTAAACCCAAAGTCTGAGCTAAATTAAATTGAAAACTTTAAGATATTTGCTTAATTACACATATCAAAATTCCATTTCTGATAGATCAGCTTCAGCTGGGGGCAGGGAGGATTTTCATCATTGCAAATATTTCAGTCAAGCAGATGAGCTACACTATTCCAGTATCCAGCCAGAAGCCAACAGCCACAACTGAAGAGAGATTACAGGGGCAAATCCCAAGAGATAGCACCCAGTTGTGGCTGTTAATGTATTTTCTCACACTGAAGGTAAGTATCCCCAAATTGACGTCAGCCACATCGTCTACATTCTCAAGCCTGCCAGCCAAAAGAAGCCAAATAAGAGCAGCAGAACTGAACATTAATGGTTATCCACATCAGTGATGAACTATCAAAAGTTCAGCCACTAGACTTCAGCTACTGTCTAGAACCAGCTGGTGCACACATCACCTCAGAGAGTCTCTGCAACAGCTAAACTTTGCCAAAGTGTGATTTTGTACATAGCAGAGTGACACATCAACACCAGACCTAGTTACTGGTGGTAGCTGGAAACACAACAGAGGGAGAGGGTACTGCTAACCCCATGAAATCTCAAAAGCAGCTGCTTCCTGAACAAGACTGACCCAAAACCTTCCCAATGAAAAGTGAAGCTTGGCAAGTCTGTCAAAGGCAATAAGGAAAGCACTGAAGTTTAAGCACACAGGATCCAACCAGAACTTAAGATCAGTCATAGTTTTAAAGCCACAGGAATCACTGTAGATTAAATCAGCTCTCCTGCATAGCGATCCCCTCAGTAAATCTAACCTCTCAGAGGAATAAGTGACTGTTGGTACACGAGCAGGTGTGACAGTTAAATGCCAAAGAGGCTATTCTGGTCAACAAGCTTCCAAAGACAAGTCAATAAGGATAATGAGAATACAGCATGAGAAGTTTGGCTTATTAAATCTGGAATTAAATCATGCATATTCCCATCTTTACCAGGCTGCTCTTCTGTGATTTCCCCTCCTTCCCAAATTGGGCCAGCAAAGAAAACACTGCAGAACAACCATTCAAAACCAGACTCGAGATTCATGATGCTGCACCTGACCCCACTTAATTTCTAGCAATAGAAGAGGTAAGTAGTGTCAGAGAAGGAGAAGAAGGTCTCTCTACTCACCAGATGGCTCCTCCGGCTCGCTTTCATTCTCCTCCTCTGCAGGAGCTGGTGGAGGTGGTGGTGGCAGTTTCTTCTCTTTCTCAGCCTTAGCATTTCTCTCTTCTTCAGAGTAATACTCATCTTCTGACAGGTTTGCAAGACTCTCGTCCATCTCCCTATACTCCACCTGTAAGAAGCACCACAGGGGATAAACACACTGAAGATGTCTCTAAGTCTCACTGCTAAAATGAATACTGCAAACAACAAAACTGCCCATAGCTCAAAAGGCCTGAGCTACCTTGTCTTATTACAGCTGCCATGGGATAAAATCTCCAACAGCTTAGCTAGTTCCTGTTTTATCTCCATGAAGTCTTTGGTACCCAACTGTCCAATAATAGGAACTTGCTGCTCCTACAGAACTCAGTTTATTGGTACTCGTTATATTATCATTCAACCCCTCTGGCTTTCTCTCCCTTCTTCACCTCCCTGTCAAGCCCAGGGGTAACAAATCACCTCTATGTCCAATCCACATATTCCAGCTTGAATTCAGCTGTCAAACCTGGGTGACCAGACCTGTACACAAGATTCACACGGATTTCCTTGGGTGCACCTCACACTGGTTCAGAAACCAGGCTTTTATCCCCAAGTTAGAAAGTTTGTGTATTTCTACCTGTTGGAAAGGGAATAAACCACTTCTCAATATACAGCCATGGGAAAAAGAAAGAGAAAGCAGCTGTGACCCTCCAGCATCCTAGAGGTCACCTTGTGATGACGAAAGCAACTCTCCATGTGTCTTCAAGAGATCAACACCTCTGTCACAGTCCAAGTTCATTAAGACACGGCAATAACAGGCACAGTTCCCAACAGCACTGGGAAGTCGTGTACAGGAAAGCCTGAATTCAGTAAAACACCAACACGCTCCATGAGCCACCTTTTAGTTGTTCACGTTCCCTGTCCAGCACATTCAGTTCTCACTGCCCAGCAAACACTGCACCCCCAGGATCTTTTGTGAACCCAGGTTCTGGAGCAAGTTTCAATGATCCCACGGCACCATAAGCACATTATCACAGGTATTCAAACCCAACACAAACTGCTTCTGCCCCAAGGCCCTCTGAAGGCTCCCTTCCTCCTTGAGCTCACACAGCTTGCAGAGAACAACTGAGTCCAACGGAAAACTCCAAGCTTTTCCCTTGGTTTGTTTTCAACCTGGACACCCTCCTCAACTGAGCTCACCCCACAGACACTCACAGGAAGGTGACCCTGTGCTACCCTGAAGGGATGATGGGGAGATGCTCTGCCAAAAGAGATTAACACCCTTAGCAAACCCACAGACACTGCACTGGTTCCTGCTTGTAAACAGACGACTGTAAAGCGAGTAAAACCCAGGTATGGTGCCTTGAGAGATCACAGAATGGTTTGGGTTGAAGGGACCTTAAAGCTCATCCAGCTCCAACCCCCCTACAACGGGCAGGGACCCCTTCCACTGGAGCAGCTTGCTCCAAGCCCCTGTGTCCAACCTGGCCTTGAGCACTGCCAGGGATGGGGCAGCCACAGCTTCTCTGGGCACCCTGTGCCAGCGCCTCAGCACCCTCACAGGGAAGAGCTTCTGCCTAAGAGCTCAGCTCAGTCTCCCCTCTGGCAGGTTACAGGATGCACCAGGCTGACCTACCCAGCAACTCCTACATACAAAGGACCGGTCGAGCTATCGCGTCAGATAAGAGCTGTGAAGAAGCCATTCAGCGCCATGGCTACAGCACAAGAGAGCTCCCAAGAGCGTTTTCAGCCTCCCCATCGCACCCCCCCAGCACTGGGCACAGCAGAGATCCTCAAAGTCTTCTGCACGGAGGTTTCCAATGAAATGTTCACAAAAGAAACGGCACTTTCTCCATGTCCACAGTAACTCACGACTGTCACGTACCAGACACACAGCCAAGGCACAGATCACCAGAGCCTGTTTGCAGCCTTTAGATTCCACCCATAAACCTCGCTATTAACCCCCGGGCGGCACCGAGCGGCGGCAGGGCCGCAACAAGCCCGCACACAGCCCGCGGCACCGGGACCGCGCTCCCCGCACCCCCACGCACCTTGGCCCGCTTGCGCCGGCTGGTCCTGCGGCCCTCGGGGGTCTCGGCGGTACCCGTGGTCTCGGCGCCGGGAGCAGGCCCGGCCCCAGCGGCCGGCGGCTCGGACAGAGCGCCCGGGGGCGAGGCCCGCGGCGGCTCCTTCTTGCGGGGCGTGCGCTCGGCAGCGCCGCCGCTCTCGGCAGAGGAGCCCGGGGCCCCCGCGGCGGCGGGCGGAGGCACCGGAGCCTCAGGGCCGCCCTCGCCGCCCGCCGCCGCCTCCGCGCCCTTCTTGCCCCCCGACAGCATCGCCCCGGCCGCGCCGCACAAAGGAGCCCGAGCCGCGGCGTGAGGGAGGCCGCGCCGCGCCGCCGCCTGACGTCACATCCGGGCCGCACCGGGGCGGAGGGGAAGGGCTTGTGCCTGAGAGCTCAGCTCAGTCTCCCCTTGGGCAGGTTCAAGCCATTCCCCTTGTCCTGTCCCTACATCCCTTGTCCCAAGCCCCTCTCCAGGTTTCCTGCAGCCCCTTCAGGCACTGGAGCTGCTCTAAGGTCTCCCCTTCAGGAGCCTTCTCTTCTCCAGCTCCAGCTCCTGCTCTTCTCCCAGCCCAGCTCTCTCAGCCTGGCTCCAGAGCAGGGATGCCCCAACCTTTGCAGCATCTCCATCCAGCAGCTCCACGTCCCTCTTGTGCTGTTGCCCCAGAGCGGGACGCAGCCGAGAGGACACGAGAGCAGCTCCTGTATGGAGCCAGGCTGAGAACATTGGGGCTGTTCAGCCTGGAGAAGAGAAGTTGCGTGGAGACCTCAGAGCAGCTTCCAGTGTCTAAAGGGAGGCTATGGAGATGCTGGGGGTGGACTCTTCATCAGGGACTGGAGTGACAGGACAAGGGGTAATGGGTTAAAACTGAAACAGGGGAAGTTTATATTGGATATAAGGAGGAAGTTCTTTACTGTTAGGGTGCTGAGGCACTGGAATGGGTTGCCCAGGGAGGTTGTGAATGCTCCATCCCTGGCAGTGTTCAAGGCCAGGCTGGACAGAGCCTTGGGTGCCATGGTTTAGTGTGAGGTGTCCCTGCCCATGGCAGGGGGGCTGGAACTGGATGATCTTCAGGTCCTTTCCAACCCAAACCATTCTATGATTTTCATTCACTTAATTTACAATAACTTTTACGTGCTTTATTCCGTTTTATCCGGGTGCATTCGGTTTTCAGCCCCTTCCAGGCACTTGTCCCGCCGTTATTCAAGCTGTATTCGTGCCGTACCCTGCGGCCTGCCTCTCCGCTGCCCGCTCCCCGAGCCGCCAGGACAGAGCCGCCGCTGGGTGGCGCCATCGCCACGGTACCAATGGCGGCGGCTGCGGCCCTGGCGCTGCTCTGTGCGGCCGCCGCCCTCGGCCCCGCGGTGCCCGCGCTCCGCTACCGCCCGGACTGGGCCAGCCTGGACGCGAGGCCGCTGCCGGCCTGGTTCGACCAGGCCAAGGTGGGGGTGTTTGTGCACTGGGGGGTGTTCTCCGTCCCCGCCTGGGGCTCCGAGTGGTTCTGGTGGCACTGGAGGGGCGAGCACAGAGCCGACTACGAGGGCTTCGTGCGGCGCCGCTTCCCGCCCGGCACCACCTACGCCGACTTCGCGCCCCTCTTCACGGCCCACGACTTCCAGCCCCGCGACTGGGCCCGGCTCTTCCAGCGGGCTGGGGCCAGGTCAGTGCCGGGCGCTGAGGGGATGGCAGGGCCCTGGTCACTGTGGGAGCTGTGTCTGGGGGGCCCCAGCGGGATTCAGAGGTCCCTGAGGGGCTCGGGGGTCCCTGACAGCACACGGTGCTGAGGAGGTGATGGGTCCTGCTGCTTCCTAATCTCCACTCTTCCAATGTTAAAACCCCTCTGTTATTCTGTAGTTGCTTCTTTATTTCAAGGGTGATCAGAGAATCAAACAAACCCAGACTGGTTTGGGTTGGAAAGGACCTTGAGATCATCCAGTTCCAACCCCCCCTGCCATGGGCAGGGACACCTCACACTAAACCAGGGCACCCAAGGCTCTGTCCAACCTGGCCTTGAACACTGTCAGGGATGGAGCATTCACAACCTCCCTGGGCAACCCATTCCAGTGCCTCACCACCCTAACAGGAAAGAATTTCCTCCTTAGATCCAATCTAAACTTCCCCTGTTTAAGTTTTAACCCATTACCCCGTGTCCTGTCACTACAGTCCCTAATGAAGAGTCCCTCCCCATCATCCCTATAGCCCCCCTTCAGATACTGGAAGGCTGCTATGAGGTCTCCACGCAGCTTCTCTTCTCCAGGCTGAACAGCCCCAACTCTCTCAGCCTGGCTCCATACAGGAGCTGCTCCAGCCCCTGAGCATCCTCGTGGCCTCCTCTGGACTTGCTCCAACAGCTCCGTGTCCTTCTGATGCTGAGGACACCAGCACTGCACCCAGTGCTGCAAGTGGGGTCTCACTCCAGTGAGCCCTCAAAGAGGGCTCCTCACAGCATGGTTCTTCAGCCCCTTGCTTTTACAGTGACTTGGGCCTGCCAGGGAGCCTAGGGGATGTCTCGGGTATTTCCTTTGTCATCCCGATGAAATACCTTGTTTTCCCCCCAGGTATGTGGTACTGACCGCAAAGCATCACGAAGGCTTCACCAACTGGGGCTCATCCGTGTCCTGGAACTGGAATTCTCTGGATACGGGGCCCCACCGGGATCTGGTGGGAGAGCTGGGACAAGCCCTCAGGGAGAGGTACGGCACTGCCAAACTGCTGTTGCTGTCGTTTGAATTCTCCTGGCTGCTCTTGGCAAACAGTGGGAGATCATTGGTTTGATATAAGGAAAACAGTGTCCTGAGGTCTTCTGTGAAGTAATAATGAAATAACCTGATCTGCCTCTGGTTCTTAATCCCTCCTGCCAGCCTAACCCTTTCCTCTGTGTTCTCTGTCCTTCAGCAACATCCGCTATGGGCTGTATCACTCCCTGTTAGAGTGGTTTAATCCACTCTATTTAGCTGACAAAGAAAATGGCTTCAAGACCCAGAACTTCGTTCTGAAGAAGACGATGCCAGAACTTTATGATCTCGTCCTAAAGTAAGAGCCGCAATTGCTTAGAAGAGCATTTCCTGGCTTCAGTAGTGTAGAGAAAGACGCAGAGAAGAGAGGGGACAAATGTTAATTCTTTGTGTGAAGCATAAACCTGGTAATGGCAGGCAGTAGGAAGAGGAAGTGAAGCTACTCTCCATCGCCAGAAACACAGTGTTCCTTTGTGGGAGGAGGAAATGAGCCACTGTGAAATAACACTCATCTCTCTGTTAGATACAAACCTGATTTGATCTGGTCAGATGGAGACTGGGATGCTCCAGAGTCGTACTGGAATTCTACCTCTTTCCTTGCCTGGCTCTATAACGACAGTCCTGTCAAGGTATCACTTTCAGCTGTCCCTCATGGCCAGCGTTTTATGGGTATGGGAGGTCTGGGAGCAGTGAGGTATGAATGGGATCAAATCAGAAGCCCACTGCAAATACCAAATGTGCCTTATTCTTTCACATGCACAAAAGCCTGAACTGTGTTCCTTGGGAAGACTCCAGTGTCCTTTACAGCACACACATGAGAGGCTCAGAGCCCAGGAACCTTCTTGCCTCAACGTCTGCAAATACTGGGAGTGAATAGAGAGAGGTTCTCCTGGACTGGAATTCAGCCTTCTCTGGAGGATCCTCGCCCTCATTCTGTTGATTACACAGTGGGGTTTAGGTGCTTACCTCCTGAGATGCCTTTGCTAACTTAGGAGAGATAATGCAAGCTGAAAAGGGTGAACATTCTCCCCACTGAGCTGAGTTTCTTCTTTCAGGACACTGTTGTTGTTAATGATCGTTGGTGCAGTAACTGCTCATGCCATCACGGAGGCTACTATAACTGTGCCGACAAGTACAAGCCAGGGACTCTGCTAGCTCACAAGTGGGAGATGTGCTCCTCCATTGACAAGCTCTCCTGGGGCTATCGGAGCAACATGAACGTTGCAGAGTTAATGGATGAAGCAAGTATCATTGAGGTAAGGAATCTGGAACCAGAATAAGGGGTATGGGGGGTTTACTGAGAGGTTTCCTTCAGCCTCCTGCTTGCTTGTGTTCCACACAATCAGGCTGGAGCTAAAGGAGCAGTTGATGAGGACAAAGCCTTCCTCAGATTCCTTTTCTCTCAGAGGTGATTATAATGCCATTTGTTACCTTGGTTTATCTGTCACAGGAGCTAGTGCAGACTGTGAGTTTTGGAGGCAACTACCTGCTCAATGTGGGACCTACAAAAGAAGGGGTGATTGTTCCCATCTTCCAAGAAAGACTTTTGGCCCTTGGGAAGTGGCTGGACACTAATGGGGAGGCGATTTATGAAACAAAGCCGTGGAGGGTACAGATGGAGAACAACACAGACATGGTGTGGTAAGGACGCTGCTGCATGGTGTCATATGAGCTGGCATGGCTTCCTGACCTGTTTATGCTCTGAAGTGTTGCCACCAGGTGCAGATGGCACTGTGGCATTATGCTACAATTGGAGTGCTCAGGTACTGCCCCAAGGTCTTCTCTAGTTTGAACTGCACAAATGTAGTTCATCTGAACACATATAGTTTGTAAATGTAGAGATGTTTGCTTTCAAGCTGGTACAGGATGGTACTGATCGCTGTTACCCAACTGAGAATGACAACAGTGAACCAGAAACTGCTACAAACCAGAGTTATTTTGTTTCCTGCAGGGTGTTCAGGATAGGAATGCAGAGCGAACAGCAGCGTATCCGCTCTGTTGACCACAGCTGAGGCAAGGACAGATTAGCAAATGACACGTGGACTTTGTTTGGGTTTCATCAGCCAGTGCTGCCTGGCCAAATGGGTCCAAAGTGACAGGTTTTGGGATGAGGGGAAAGTAGGGGACTGCTGAGCTGTGGCCATAGGCAGTTCTTGTGCCATCTGGGATGGGGAAACTCATATCTGTTCTCTCTCTTAGAATCATAGAATAGTTAGGGTTGGAAAGGACCTTAAGATCATCCAGTTTCAACCCCCTACCATGGGCAGGGACACCTCGCTCTAAACCATATCACCCAAGGCTCTGTCCAGCCTGGCCTTGAACACCACCAGGGATGGAGCATTCACAACCTCCTTGGGCAGCCCATTCCAGTGCCTCACCACCCTTACAGTAAAGAACTTCTTCCTTATATCCAATCTAAACTTCCCCTGTTTAAGTTTTAACCCATTGCTCCTTGTCCTATCACTACAGTCCCTAATGAAGAGTCCCTCCCCAGCATCCTTATAGTCCCAGCACCCTTGTATAGCCTCTTAAGTGACTCTTGACCTTGCTCTTATAGGTACACTTCTAAAGGACCTGTTGTCTATGCCATCTTTCTGCTCTGGCCTCAGGACAACGTTCTGGGGCTGTCCTCACCTACTCCATCCCCAGACACACAAGTAAGGAGCTTGGAAAACAGATAAGACCCTCTGAGGGCTTGTCCTGAGCATGTGTAGGCTGGGAAGGATCCAACCTGGCTTCATGTGGAAACTGGGGAAAGTGTGGAAGTTGATATCCTGTGCTTCTTGCTCTGGGGTGCTCTGGCTTGCCTCCAGATCCTTGCAGCATCCCAGATTATTCTCCAGCCTTTGGCTCACTGTTAACACAGGGCATCGGGTACAGTTTACCAGGACAGGCTTATTGTCTGCCACAAAGCAAGCAGAGACACTTCTCCCCCAGAGCATTTTGATCCTATTGGCACAGGGAGGTAAATAACAAGCCTCACACACAGAAGGGATCACTGCTCTTGCATTTCCAATTCAAATCAGGTACACTGACCCCTCATTGTCATTGGAGTGACGCAAATGCTGGGGTGCCCTTTGCTCTAAACAAACAGGGCTGAAGCCTGCACGGTGAAAACAACGACTGAGCGTTTCCCCTGCCCTCCTCTGCAGGTGACCATGTTGGGGTTTGCAGGAACACTGAAGTGGCAGAAGTCCCCTGGTGAAGGCCTGCTCGTAACACTGCCCTGCATGCCTCCATCACCCCAGTCTGGCTGGGCCCTCAAGCTTGAGGGTGTGAAGTGATGGCTGCAGGATGGAAGCAGCAATCTGTCCCTGCCTTCCTTTCAAACTGAATCCAGCAGGATTTTTTTCAGTTATTGTTGAATAAATTGGTTTTCTCATAAGAGAATCTCTCTTCCAGTCCCTTTTGCCTGTGATCTGGGTGTCAAGGGGCCCTGTTTGAAGAGATCTAGAAGAAATCAGCTATAGAAAATCATGGTCTAATACAGATCCATTATTTATATTCTGGGGGAGGCAGCTGTAAGCAGAAAAGGTTTGTTCTGATGTGCTCAATTGAT